GGGTCGTAGCACATCGATGTTGTTCGTATACACCATCGTATTTTCGTTGTATCATGCCGCATAGCGGAACGTCCAAAATCGTGGGGCTCTTTTCACAAATATCAGCTATCGTCATTTCTCTATAAAGACGAACTGGTCGTGAACCTGAAATGCATTTCTTCCTTGTTATTTGCTGTCACTAATGACGTACGGTGCGGTACGTGCAAATTACGAAAAAATCTCACCGGATCAAAGTTAGAGGGCGAAATTATAGTAAAGAGCCCGTCATTTCCCAGCACAACTGAGAAATATGAAAAATATGAGCGGTGCCTTCTCAAAACGTCTGAGAACTCGTGGATATGTCAAGCAACGCCTAACATTTCCACCAACCAACGTGGTAATGGAATTTCACGAGCGTTACAAAAAAAGACGTTGACATTATATGGAAGGACCTAGCTGTTAATGACAACCTTCCATGTTTCAGACTTAATTTCTGCCATACATACTGCGATCAAATCTTACCTCTTGTAAAGCAGTCGGCGAAAAACAGGCTCATGAAAATTTGAACGCACTGTGAAACGGGCCGAGAATGTACGATTGTGCATCAGCGGAGAACGGTTCAGTAGGTGTACGTCTAGCATAGCAGCGAGGACATTACGTATCTCAGCAGTGTGCTATGCGAATTGAGAGCGTACAAGGTCATCCATCCCACACCCCTCCCTCGGTCGCCGGCACTTACCTCCCAGATAAAGTTCCTTAAATATCTCGAGCCTGCCCCCTCTCACACACACTTTTTGGACCGTTCCTACACCTTTGGCCAAAATATTATTTCTCTTCGGATTTTGTTCCTTTTCATTTGCATTCCTGATGTTAGAGCACAATTTTGTTTTTAACAATCCTCGATTCCATAAAGGGGCGGCATTACCGCGAACAATCGACCAGGCGCTCGACTCTTTGCAGCAGATTCGGCTATTGTACCTCCTGGATCATACACAAAGGATGTACAGTACGTGCAGGATGTGCGTACATCCACCGATCAGCGGTGACACAATGTTTTTCCAATGCCCTTTAGATCGGTGCTTTTCACAGATTTGCAGCCAAGATTCACCCCACATACTAAACAATGTAAAATACCAGATTATCAGGCTCATTACTAGTCGTAAGAATGGCAGATGGCCACATCTTGCGACGAACGCAATCAGTTTGCTCCGCAGCGTTTTAAAGCATCGTGCCATTTGAGACAGGAGGTGCTCCAAAAGACAAAAGGTGAAAAAACAACAAAAAAAAGACAAAAGGTGCTCGCCACGCGGTGATCAATTGGGTTCACTGCAAGGCTGTGGGCTGCTGTCGGTTGCGTTCACATCGTAAGAAGCTGACTGGTTAGAAGAGCGAAGCTAATCGTCAGTTTGTTTTACTGCAATAGCGTTTAAAAGCCGTGCCGATGTAGGAGGATTGTTGTTTGTGGACACATGAGCTGTAGCTTCGGAGGTAAACGGAGGACGTTGGAGCGACATATGTCAAGGATTCATCAGGGACTTCCTGCTGCTGAGAGGAGCAGCGGCTTTGAGGAAAGAGGCTGGGCATCGCTGATGTAGGCCTCTTACACTGCCCGTTACACGTCAGACTTACCTTACTGAGTGGTAGACACGCGTGAGATAAAACGCGTTGAATTTTCTTCATCTTGCATATGAAGCTAGACGAAGATGCTAGGGGTATTCAAAAATGTCTTGTGCATCTGTTGATACCGATGTTGCATGAATTTTACTCTAAATAATTAGGATCATGTTGGGAAGTGCGAGTCCTGCACAGGTTGTGGTTATGCGAGGATAGCAAAGGTCTCCAACGCTTCCAGCTGATTGTACGATAACGTCACAAAGACAAAAGTGACATTGTTAAACAAAGTTGCATTGTTGCTTGTAGAATCGTGTCGTCGGTAAATGTAGGGATACAAGGATGCAGTTTTGCAAAATATGTCGAGATGGGATGGTTAGGAAGAAGAAGTGAGTTACAAAGGAGATCGGCGGCAATTATGGAAAGTGCTCGCTTCAGCATGTTCGGGGTACTTTCGCTGTTACACTTTCTCCAGATTGCATACATTGAGATCAGCGTAAACGCTGCCAAAACGCGTCGAGGTCCTACCGAGATTTGAACTCGGATCGCTGGATTCAAAGTCCAGAGTGCTAACCATTACACCATAGGACCCGCCGTCCGGAGGCTCAAAATTGTCGTTCAAAAACAAGACGTAGTATACTGGTTGTCTATGCTTCTTTTATCTTAGCATATAAATTGCATTCAACTACCAATCGCTGAACGTGATACTGACAGACAGCAAAACGGTTAACGCTCCTCATTCTGGCGCAGTTTCAAACGTTATCCCGTATCTTTCCGAACGAGATGATAAGATCTCGTAATGCATGACGAGACATCTATATCCTTCATTAGAAAACCAGGGCTACCAGAAAAATAATTTTCTATATGAGAATTGTGAATGCCTAGGAAAATCTTAAATTAAACAACAGGCTTCTTTTATCTCTTATTTTTGAAAAAATCATGCATCAGTTAATGAGTATAACTCAAGCGAAAATGCGATTACCCCTGTGGCATGTTAATTGGCGGGAACCTGCTGAGGGTTTGACTAGTTGGTTGTAAGAAGTAGAGGCTGCAGACTGTGCATGAAAGGAAAGGGTGGTCAGACCTCTCGGATAGAAATATCCATTGTGCTAACGCTGACTTTTCGTTCTGGTAAGCTATCTGTAGGTAGTTATAAGGCGTAGGCACTTGGTTGGCCAGGCAGAAGTATAGTTGTATTTTTGTGGATGCTCTGCAGAATTTAAGTTCAGTTGGCCTGGCCTGAGATTGGCACGCACAATGGCGATATGTAGTACATTAGCGTTGCCTAGGTTTCTGGTGCAGTGAGTTTTTCAGACTGCCCCTAGGCATCCTTGGCCATCATGCAGTTAGGTATGTGATCAGCTTAGTTTTGTCATTCTAAGATCTATACAGTATAGGCATCACCATTTGTCTGCCTTGGTATGGAGCATGGCAGTGGGCTGTCAAACTGCAATAAAGCACAAAATGACTCCAGAAGCCATCACCCTAAAACTCCAATTATCATCAACATTATTGCAAACTGTACATGTCTACAACAGTGTCTTTGCCTGTCCAACAGCGTGAGTGAGCACACGCATACTTACATATGCAGGGTGCATGCACACAAACTTTGTGAGTAAAATTTATATCACCTCTAGTGTGATTGGGCTCAAAGAACTAAGCTGCATTCATTTTAGTATTTTCTCAGTCCAGCTCACCTTCTGATCCAGATTTTTATCTAATGCTGTGGGTGATGTCTGATAGAATCAAAGTTGCAACTAATTGTTTGTGCAATGTTGGCTGTTGGCCAGTTCATAGATGTGTTGCAAGCACAGAGTGTTATCTAGTGATAATGTAAAAGAATTTGAGACTGACATAATTTAGGCCACTCCTAGAATTACCAATTTTGACAAGTTGAATGCATGTTATGCAGATTATGATGATAGGCATTGATTTTGAAGCTTAAGACTCTGTGACTTAAATGATCCAAAGACATGATCCAAAGACAAATGAGAAAATACAATGACAATTATTCAAAGCTAAATGAACATGTGTGGTTGTATATACTCCATGTTCTGAAATATAATGCATGCATAAGATTGTCTTGAAATGGCAGTTTTGTATTGATATAATTATCTGTTGCATGTGTTGTTAGTATGTCCTGTGTGAGCAAAATCCTGTAAGCACCTGTGTTTGTGAGATTGCAAGCACTGGCCATATGCTGATGACCAGCCTTGCAGTACACTAGCACTCAATGGTCAGAACCAGTCAGAACATGTCATGATAATCATCATTAGAAATGTGGGTATTAGAGGGTATGATGGATCTTGACTCCAGGTGAATTCATTTCAATGTTTAGCATGTATGTTTCAATATTCAACATGTGCATTTCAGTATTTCACATGTTTAATAATTAACATGTCTTGAATAGGGTTGGAATCAAGTCATTGGGATATTTTCTGTGAATCAGTCATTTTGGGTCCATTGAATGACTTGTGAGTGGAGCCAAGTGTAGTTGACAGGAATAACATGTTAATTTTTGTGACTCAAAAAATGGTTATATGAGACATCTGTCATCAGAAACATCTCTATGAGAATCAGGCATGGATTTGTTCTCAGTATTTAGTCCAAACCTTTTCATTGGATAGACATTTTGCTTAAGCCCCTGTGCTGAGCAGTGCTTGTTGAATGGCCCTCACCTGACCTTGCTGTCATGTTGTTGATCATGGAATTTTTGGCCAACAGAATTTTGTGATGGAAGGCCATCTTGGTCAGGAGCAAATAGCAAGCACATAAAGCAACTCAGTGGGTGGGCCATGGGTGGCTGAATTAGATGGTATGTGTCCTATGCTAATAAGCTTTCAGGATGGAATTGAACAGTTCATTCTTCATTCAGAACTGGAGCTGAGCCAGAGTCATGCAGTATCGGAGGGATTGAGTAACCCTATGTGCTGTTTGGTCATAATCTGTAAAATCAGGGAATGCACACTAAGCATACAGACATGCCATAGTAGGGTGTGTCAATTTGAAACATCATGGTCACCTTGATGATGCATTGACACTTTTCTTATCAGTTCTAGCATGCTTCATAGCACTGGAAAATTCACAAAATCACAACACAAAGTATCTGTATACTACACAGTTTTCCTATCTCACCAGACTAGTAACGAACAACAGTTTTTACATGGTAGCGTTGATCTCCGTGTCGGCGCCCTGTCAGCAAAGTATTACTCAGCCGCCCGCCGCGCCCACAGGGATCTTTCCGTCTGCCCGGCATGGAGTGTGACGGGTGGCGGCGGGCCACGTCCGACCGCGGCGTGCCCTACTACGTGCACCACGGCGAGCAGCGCACCTCCTGGACGCACCCGCGGCTCGCGGCGGCCCTGCGCTGCGTGCAGGACTGCGCCTACGTCCGCTACGCCGCCTATCGCATGGCCGTCAAGAGCCGCCAGCTGCAGCGCGCGCTCGGCCTGGACGCCGTGCCGCTGGCGGCCGTCAAGGCGGCGTTCGCCGCGCAGGGGCTGGCCGCCGCCGAGGATGAGACGACGCTCGACTGCGCGCGCGCCGCCGCCCTGCTGGAATTACTGTTTGACCCGGCGGCGCCGGAGGGCGGCGACGCCGGTGCTGGCGCTGCCGCTGCCGCTGACGCGGACGCTGCCGAGCGGGCGGAGGTGCTGCTGAGCGCGGCGCTGACGGCACTGGACCGGCGTCGCACCGGCGTCGTGTCCGTCACCGCGCTGAAGCTGCTGCTCGGCCTGCTGTGCGCCGGCCGCCTCACCGACCGCTACCGCTACCTGTACGCAGAGCTGGCCGACGCCGGCGACTGTCTGCCGGCGCCGCGGCTGGCACGCCTGCTCGAGGTGGCCGGCGCCGTCGCCGAGCTGCTCGGAGAGCGTGAGACCTTCGGCCGCCACCTGGTGGCCGGTACGGTGGCCTCCTGCTTCGGAGGAGGCAGCGCCGGCGCTCTGACCAGGGACGGCCTGATGACGTGGCTGCTGCGGGAGCCGCAGATGCTGGTGTGGGTGTCGACGCTGTACAGGCTGACTTCCGCCGAGGAGGTGGTGCACAGCGTCGGCTGTAGCGTGTGCGAGGCCAAGCCACTGGTCGGACTCTGCTACGCCTGCCTGCAGTGTCTCGGCGTCTACCTCTGCCAGGAGTGCTTCTTCCGCGGGCGCGCCGGCCGCGGCCACAAGCCGCAGCACCCGCTGCAGGAGTTCTGCGCGCAGTGGAACCGGCGCCAGAAGACGCAGGCGCTGCTCAAGACGCTGTGGAACAAGTTGAGTGGCCGACGGGAGCGCGCGCCGGCCGCGCTACCGCCGGCCGCCGCCTCCGTCGCCGCCCCCGCCGTCGCTCCCGCCACCGCCCCCGCCGCTGAGCAGGACGAGGACCCGCCGTCCTCGTCCTCCTCCGACGAGGACGACGAGCTGCTGTCGCGCACGATCCTGGACGGCTCGGTGGCGCTCGACCCGCGGCTGGACAGCATTCTCGGCCACCTCGAGTCCGAGAACGGTCTGCTGGCGGGGGAGCTGCGGCGGCTGCGCGGTGTGCTGCCACCGGGAGAACGCGTGCCCGTCGCGCACACGCGCCAGATGCGCGCGCAGCTGCAGCGGCTGCGCGCGCTGGTCGGTCGCCGGCGGCGCGATGAGCCGCGGCCGGCCACGCCGCCGCCGGAGTCGCCGCCGCGGCCAGCCCACCTGCAGTCGACGCCGATGCCGCGGCTCTCGCAGCTTAGTCCCATCGCGCGCGTGCCCGACACGCCCGCAGCGCGCGATGCGCCCGCAGACGAGTACGGCCTGGTCTTGTCGCCGCAGTCGGGCGCCGGTGGCGGGGCGGCGAGCCCGGCGCTGCAGAGCGGCGCGGGCGCAGATGACGCTACCGCCGTGCCGCCAGGCGGCGCTGGCGCCGCGCCGACCAGCCCGGACGCTCCGGATTTCAGCCGCCGCCTGCCGGACCTCACCGAATACTCGCTCTCCGACCTGAGCTCGCCGCAGCGGGTCGACCTGACGGTGCCGGCTGCCTCGTCGCTGTCGCCCTCGCCGGCCGTGCGGAACGCCGAGGAGGCCCTGGCGGTGCTGGCGGCGGAGGTGGCGCTGCTGGAGGAGACCACGAACCGCGGGCCGGAGACTTGGCCCAGCGGGGCCCTGATGGGCACTGTGCCGCACCAGACGGCCGCCGAGCTGCTGGAGCTGCTTTCTGACCTGGAGAGCCTCTGCGTCACCGCCAACTAAACGACGCGGCGGAAGCGTCATGGCTCAGCGGTCGTGAGCCTTTGAGAACCACTCGAGAACGGGATGCCTTTGAGAACCACTAGATAATGGACGACGGGTGTTTTGAGCCGCGCAGTCTTGTGATTGGATGCGTTATCATGTCTCCCTGTTGCTAGCAAAAGCCGTGTTTGTGCTGCCCGCCGCCGTTTGAGCAAGTAGCATTAGAAGATGCCGTTATGCTCAGCGGAGGGATGCAGATCCGCCAACCGCCCAGAACTGGACAGAGATCATGGTACTGGATTCGACGGTATCGCCAGGTGCAGCGAGACCCTGACAACTTGATATGCTTTGCAGCTGTTTTTCCTGTGTAGTGGCATTTGAAGACAACTGCTTTGATGGTTGTGTTGAGACTGGACCGACCAGGTGGCGCGATTCTGTCCCTAGTTGGTTCACATTTGATGATTTGTTTTGAGCAAATTCACCCAACCGGTTGTATGAGTGACTTACAGGTTGTGCGTTCCGTCCGAAAATGGAACTAAAAGGCAGTGTGGCAGCTACTGCATGTTCGTTCTTGCCAGCCATTGTGTCGCTTCACCTTAAGGTGTGGGCACACCCGTGATTGTTGCTTATAACTTGGTTGTGAAATTGGACTCAGTTGTTTTTGTTTGCTTTATGACGGCTTTTATCGCTTTTCGATGGTTATTTGAGCTGAAACTGCTTGGCAGTCATCTGCGATTTTATGTACCACGTGTCGCTCCCTGCCGTACTGATTCTGCATTTGATATTGATAATTATGTAAGTGTACTTAACCGTTCCAATTGCTCAAAACATGCGTCAGTGTTTTAGAGCGGCGAAATATCGTTGGTTTGCTATTGCGCTGTCTGCCGTATTCAAATGTCATCGCACGTGAGTGTATCACCAGTGTGCGACGATCATGTCGTTCACAACGCTGCTTGGATGAATGAGTTTTGGACATCATTGCCATGAGTAAATGCTTCACGACAAGCGCGTGTTTTGTATGTGTGCCTCCGCCGCCTGTCGCTGCTGTTTTACGTTCGTTCAACCTGTGATTTATCACCACACCGCGCTAATGCAATACATATTCCATGACGTAGTGGGCAGCATGCCCTGTAAACACTTTATTAAATTAAGTCAATCGAATTTGCGGCGTAGACTGGAGCCGGCGGAAGTTACTCATGTGGCACTGACGCTCGACTCTTCCTATGGCGGCGGCGGTGAGTCTGCCCGGCTCGTGACATGCCGTGGGTGTACCGCCCATTTGGGGCGTCTACTGGCTGTCACTGGACGGTGCCGAACGGGATTATGTCGCGTGTACTAATGAGCAGTTTCATCGTAATACATTCCGGTGCGACCTGATGGCGATTACGCATGTAGGCTGAGTGGGCGAATCTACAAAGCTGCTCGCGGCAGGTGTCGGCGGTGACGCAACCTTCGTTTAAAGTACATTGCAAGTCACGGCGAAGTCGCACAGGAGGGCCTCGGTCCTGCAAAGGGTAATACTGCAAGACATTACGAGTTCGCGTGCCTCAAATACAGTAGGTACATAACGTGGAGCACGTGGGCAAAACGAGCATCCCACTGCCGACGGAAAGCTCGGGCTTAATAGCGTCGCCCTTCGTCAGTTCCGCTTGACGACCTCTATGCCTTTGGACGCCGACCTTTGGAACCATGGGGTGGGGGTGTGTGATTACAGATCAATCGATTCGTGAGCATTACTGGCAGAGCGGGTCACGCTCGCCAAACAATGCCTCACTGCATGCTTTCAATGAACACCTGGCGAGCTTGCTCCACACAACGTGGTCAGCTATACCCCAGGCGAGAGCAATTCCGCATCATACATACATACATACATCAGGCACCCTCCCCATGCGGGGTGACATCAACGCTGGCTTATTTATGACCTTTTGCAGGACGGTGAGACCGCAGCAGCGAGTGAGGATATTGCCGCCGCGTCCTCCTCTGAACCGAGGCCATGAAGTTTCTGCTGCTGTTGACCGCTTGGTGCGCCGCTGCCCGCGCCGACTGGTGGCCACACCGTCTCGCACGGGGTCACGGCGGCGATATGACGGATACCGTGGCCAGAGAGGAGCCTATGGCGGATACGGTAGCCAGAGAGGAGCCTATGGCGGATACGATGGCCAGAGAGGAGCCTATGGCGGATACGGTGGCTAGAGAGGAGCCTCTGGCGGATACGGTGGCCAGAGAGGAGCCTATGGCGGATACGGTGGCCAGGGAGGGACCTGTGGCAGATACGGTGGCTAAAGAGGAGAGTATGGCGGATACGGTGACCAGGGAGGAGCCTATGGCGGATACGGTGGCCAGGGCGGAGAATTATGATATGGTTATGGTGGAAGCAGTGGCGGGTATGGTTATGGCGCCAATGGTCATGTGAATCCGGGCTTTGGAGTTAATGGTCAAGCGAGATTCGGCAGATACGGCTACAGCAGTCCGTACGGTGGTATGGAGGATATGAGAGATATTGATGTGATGTGCATTGTAAATACACTAAAGAAACTTTAAAAATTACCTGGAAGCCTTTGCATTGACTTATTTCACCTCCACGTTGCATGAGCCTCTGCTTGTAACTGGTCCCTATCCTCTTCTGAACGCAACCTAGATCGTCTTTGCAAGGCAGTATGTAACTTAAGTTAAATATGGCGTGCGTTCAGTCCCGAGCGTCTGTTCAAGCGTCTGCGCGGGTTGGCTCGGGGCACTGCACGTGCTGCTTGGTATGTACTACCCTCTGTGAACGCCAACGGCGCTGGCTGTCCCCACGCCGTCCAGCCGCGTCGATTGAGATCTCCGCCGCGGAGGGGCCGCTGGAAAATTCCGCCATCCTTGCCACGCGCGTTCACAGACCAAGTGGCAATGGGGCTCTCCATAACAAAACGACAAAACAAAAGCTAAAACTTTCTGCAGGCCATCCAACACGAGGAAAAAACGAGACAAGCGTGCGGAAGAGGCCGGACAGGGCGATGGTGGAGCGAGGCCTGCCAGCCTAGGTCCCCGCTGCACGGCAGCATACCGTGCCGTGGGGATGCGCACGCGGCTGTGTTGGGATAATGTCAACAGCAGTGACATGGAACGAGCTGGCGGGAGAGGAGGCATGTCGGGTGTACCTCGCCTGCGCAGTGGCTGGCCCCGCCCCTGTGACGCCCGAGGATGCGGGCATATCCCTTGATCGCGCCTCTCGCGGCGCTGCGGAGCGGAAAAAACCGGTCAGGGCGCCTGGCGGCCTGTACTGCGCCGATCTCGGTCGAGCGGTGGCGGACCGCGAGCGACCTGCGACGAGAAGGCCGGCTCGGTGACGGCACAGTGGGAGGGGCTATCGCGAGCGCTGTCTGTACCCGTCAACTGGAACAGACGGGTGGCGCAGTGCGGGCTGAGCGAGAGGTGCGGTGCTCCTGAGAACGGACTGCGGTGCGACACGCCAGCGGGGAGAGATCGGCGCCGGGACAGCAGCACAGCGAGGCCGTGAGTGAAACGACCGAACCAGCGCAGTGCCGGCGAAGCCAGCAGCGCAGTTCGGACGCCAGCGCGTCCTGTCCTCGGGACGTCGCGGAGCCCGGGCAGCAGTGAGACCGCGAGACCAGCGCTCCGCCAGCAACGCACGCTCCAGGCGGCAGCGGATCCGACGACGATGCTGTGCTTCCTACGCTCGGCGCTGCGGCCGGCCGGCCGGCGCAGCCTCGCCACCAGCACCTGCACGGCGGAGATCGTGGCCCGCGAGGCACGCCACGGCGCCAGCAACTACCAGCCGCTGCCGGTGGCGCTGCAGCGCGGTCTCGGCGCGCTCGTGTGGGACGTGGACGGTAAGCGCTACTTCGACTTCCTGTCGGCGTACTCGGCCGTCAACCAGGGCCACTGCCACCCGCGGATCGTGGGCGCGCTGACCGAGCAGGCGTCGCGGCTCACACTGACGTCGAGGGCGTTCTACAACGACGCGCTCGGCGAGTACGAGGAGTACGCCACGCGGCTCTTCGGCTACGACAAGCTGCTGCCGATGAACACCGGCGTGGAGGGCGGCGAGACGGCCATCAAGCTGGCCCGCAAGTGGGGCTACATGAGGAAGGGAATCCCCGACAACGAGGCGCGCATCGTCTTCTGCGAGAACAACTTCTGGGGGAGAACGTTGAGCGCTGTGTCGTCGTCGACTGACCCGACGGCGTACCGCCACTACGGCCCCTTCATGCCCGGCTACGACATCATCCCGTACAACGACCTGTCCGCTCTGGATGCAGGTCTGCAGCAACCCGCGCACGGCCGCCTTCATGGTGGAAGCCGATCAGGGCGAGGCAGGTGTCGTCGTGCCCGACGAGGGCTACCTGCGCGGCGTGCGAGACATCTGCACGCGCCACAACGTGCTCTTCATAGCCGACGAGGTGCAGACGGGCCTGGCGCGGACCGGGCGGCGGCTCGCCTGCGACCACGAGGGCGTGCGGCCCGACATCCTGATCCTCGGCAAGGCGCTGTCCGGCGGCGTGCTGCCCGTCTCGGCCTGCCTGGCCGACGATGAGGTGATGGGCTGCATCCGACCTGGGACCCACGGCTCCACGTACGGCGGCAACCCGCTGGCGTGCCGCGTGGCGATGGCGGCGCTGAAGGTGATGGAGGAGGAGAAGCTGGCCGAGCGGGCCGAGCGGCTCGGGCAGCTGCTGCGCGAGCAGCTGGCGCAGCTGCCGGCTGACGCGGTGACGGCGGTGCGAGGCAAGGGCCTGCTGAACGCGGTGGTGGTGGCCGGGCGGCTGGACGCGTGGGAGGTGTGTCTGAAGCTGGCCGAGCGCGGTCTGCTAGCCAAGCCAACTCATGGGGACGTCATTCGCCTGGCGCCGCCGCTCGTCATCAGTGAAGAGCAGCTGCTGGAGTGCGCCGACATCATCAAACTCACCATCGAAGGCATGTAGAACCGGCAAACTGGCTGCGACGATGCCCCTTAGCGAAGAGCGATTGCTGATGCGCTTTGAATACGGGGAGCGACTGACGGCTGATTCAGGTCTGGC